TAACTTAAAAAAAGTTTTCAAAACAAAAACGTTTTTTTTCGAAAAAAATGTTTTTTTGAAAATTTTCTTCCAAACAATGATATAATGGCAAATACAGTGATTCAAAACTGAAAACCATGAAATTCCGCGTTCTTAGCCGAAAATGAGATACATGGGCGCAAAGTTGATGGTTTCAGTGGTATTGTCATATAGCGCACGGTAAGTGCCGTGCCGAGTCGATGCAATGGACACGTATGGTTCAAATACATCTTCAAATAGCTATATCTTGACTTCTAAAAGAGCTAGAAAAGTGATTTTTTATGCAAAATATCTGAAATTTGCCTGAGTTTTTTCTAAAAAATAAAAAATTGCCATCGAATTCAAGAAAATCGGAAAAAAAACCAACCTTTCTAGCTTGAGTGATTCCCTTCCAAAGAGCAAAATAGACAATCAGCCAGGCAGCGGCCATAATGAAGAACAGCTCCCATTGAATTCCACCAAAGTTTGAAATGTCTCCAGTATCATGGAGCACACGCTTCTCCCAGAATTGCTCCACAGACGTTTGAGTGTGTTGACCGGCGCTGGCGACAAGTGCCTGAAATTTGAAATTTTGTCATAACTTTGCTGAAAAATGGAATTTCAGGTCAGATCAAAAAATGACACGTAGATCTTGATAAGAGCTACAAAGTGATATATGATTCGACAATTTTGAATAACTTTGAGCTACTCAGTTAACTAATTTCACAACAAGTAATTAAATTAGATCTCTAGATACAATCACAGACACAAATTTTCTTACATTTGAATTATTTGATAGTTGCATTTGAAAATTCTGAAATCGTTTTTTTTTGACGATTTCAAATCTGGACCTAAAATGTTTCTAGCGCTTCTAGGGTATGATATACACAGGGTACAAAAATACCCTTTTTGACATCTTTCATTGGAAAATCGCCAACTTTCAAATCCTGAAAAGATAGTTCAGAATTTCTCAATTTGTCTGAACATTTTTAAAGTACATTTAATGAAAATAAGTCTCTAATTTTGTAATTGACAATTTTTTGATAAAAATTCAAAATCGCAAGATTGGGGGCTAAGAAATAGCACAATTTTCATGGCCGGCTGATTTTGGCACATTTTTTGTTAAGCCAATTTATCTCAGTTCCCGTAAAAGATATCAAAAAGTAATCAACTGATAAAATATTGGTGATGTTGTGATAAACATTTTATCAGTTGACTTCTTTTTGCTATCTTTGACAGAAATTGAGATAAATTGGCTCAAAGGTAGGGGCCGAAATTTTACTTTTCGGCTCACCTTAATTCTAGTCAACTCTGTCAGATTCTCTTTTCCAGTGACACAAGTGGCATCATTCCAATAGTTGTTACAAGTCTCCCATGGGAATACCCAACTGATTGAACTGATCATATAGAACATTGCCCAGGCGACAATCACACAGAAATAGGCGATGCACATGAAGGCGATGACGACGTTTCCAATTCCAACACCACGGAACAACGGACACATCAACCACATTTCCATGGCACCTTTTTGAAGGTATTGACCGATTGTTACTTCCATTATGAAGATGGGGACAGCGGCGAGGCAGAAGAAAATGGCATAGACGACGAGGAAGGAGCCTCCTCCGTTTCTGGAAAAAAATTAGCTTGCTTGGGGATCAATAAATCTTTGGAAGTCGTTTAAATGTTTTATTTTTAATTGTTTAATTGGTCCAAAATAATTAGGACTTAATTGAAAAGCCACACAAGGAGTTGAGCTTGTGGGCCCACCGTTTCCGGTGCCGAGTCGCTACCGGCTAAGCTAAAGATCAGATATCTCAGTGATATATATCAAAAAGATGTTAACTGATAAATTACTTATCATTATATTCTATATATTTTATCAGTGGGCTACTTTTTGATATCTTTTACAAAAACCGAGTCATACTGGCTCAAAGTTAAAAGCCGGCATTTTCAGGGCCCACTGTTTGAGGGGCCATACCGCTACGGGCTTTGCACCAGCTTTGAGCACATATATCTCACTTCCTGTAAGAGATATCAAGAAGATGTCAACTGATAAATTTTTTATCATAATATCCCCAATATTTTATCATATGACTACTTTCCAATATCATTTATAGGAACTGAGATAAATTGGCTCAAAGTTAGAAGATAGGAATTTTTAGAGCACTTCATTTCCGGTGGTTCGAAATACCACTAAAATCAGATTTCAAATGAATTTTAAGACATTTTTCTAGATGTTTTTTTCAGAAATGTTCATTTAATCAAAATTTCAAGCTGTTTGAACTCACTTATAGCACAAATACGGGAATCGCCACACATTACCGAGACCAACGGCATAGGCAACCATACTCATCAGGAAATCGAACTTTCCAGTCCATTGTCCTCTGAAAATATGAAATTTAAGATTTTATTAAAATTTCGGAGATATCGGTAATTTTAAGATTTCGGAACTTCAGAAAAATAATCCTTCTTGGATTCTGAAGTTTTCTATAAGCTTTATTTTTGCACAATCTGAGATTCAAATCTTTTAGATTTTGAAACTTTGTGATTCTGCTATTTTGATTTAGAGGGTTCTAGAATTTTGAATTTCTGAAATTCTAAATTTCTAAATTATGAAATTCTGAAATTCTGAAGGTTCGATAGGCTTCGTGGTTTCAGAAAATTCAGATTTTCAATTTTTTAGATTCTGAAATTTCAGAAATTCCAAATTTTCAAAGGTTCCAGATTCTCAGAATTTTAGAATCTTAGATTCCCAGTATCCCCGATTTCAAGAATTTGAGATTCCTGGTATTCTATATTCCTGGAGTTATAGCCTTTTAAAATCCTAAAATCCTGGATTCTGTCCATCTAGGGATTCTAGTTTAGTAGATGTCTAGACTCCTAGATTGCCAGAATCCTAGCCTTCCAGAATCTCAGAATTCTGGTATTCTAGACTTTTAGAATCATAGAATCCAGGAATCCCAGAAATTGGAGATTCCTAGAATCCTAGATTCCTTGTTTCCTAGATTTCTTGATTCCTAGATTCCTAGAATCCAAGATTTCTAGAATTCTGGTTTCCTAGAATCCACAATTTCCAGAACCCTAGGTTTCTAGATTTCCAGAATCCAGAATCCTCACCTATCGGGCTCTTCAGAATGTTGCGATTCGAGTTCCTTGGCTTTCGTCTCATCCGTCGGCAGCGGTACATGTTCGGAAGTACCCATCGTTTTGGAAATTTAAATTTTCAGACAAAAAATTCAGACAAGGTACAAAAAAAAATTTTTTTTTTTTTTGGAGCACCGCTTCCTAAAAACAAGGTCTGGATGCAAATAATAGGGGGAAAAGGAGGTAAAAAGAACATAAAAAGGCGGCAAAAACACATGAGAACACGTGTTTTTGTTTGTTTTGGCAGGCAGAGAGACAAATTGAGGTTGAAAAGTCAAATGGTACTCGTTTTCTTTTTCTTTAGGAACATTTTTATATGTATGTTCCTTTGAAAACGATACCACCACGGGGTGTCGGTGGTAAGAGGAACTGTAAATATTGGGAGAAAAATAAAGAAGGGGGGGGGTTTGGAAATTTGGAGCAATCTGAGATTCTAGCCTTCAGGTACTTAGGAAGCTGGGAATCTAGGAATCTAGAAATATAAGAATCTAGGGAACTGGGAATCTAGAAATCTCGAAATTTTGGAATCTTATAATTTAGAAATCAAGGAATCTAGGAGCTCAGACTTTTAGAATTCTCGGAATTCAGGAATCTAGGAATCTGGGATTTTCGGAGGCTTTGCTGGAGATTCTGAGTAGTTGGAAAGAAATGGAAAAAAAATCTAGAAATCTCAGAATCAAAATTCCAAATATTCAGAATCTTAGAATACCAGAAATCTCGGATTTTGGAAATTTAGGATTCTGAATTCTGAAGATCTCGGATTCTTGGAACCTAGGAATCTACGAATCTGGGAATCTAAGAATTTAGAAATCTCGGAACCTACAAACTTTGGAAGCTATGAAATTCAGAATCTGAAAAACCTGGATTCTAGAAATTGAGAATTCTGAGTTGCTAGAATATACAGCCTAAGAATTTCGAAATTCAAAAAATCTCAAAAATTTGGGTCTGAAAAATTGAAAATGTGATAATCAGCTTCCTGAAACCTCTGGAAATCCAGGATTCTTCGATTCGAGAATATCAGAAATCTCGGATTCTGAAAATTTAAAATTTTGAATTCTGGAGGTCTCAGATTTTCGGATTCTGAGATTCTGAATTTCAGAGAATTTGAGAATCTGAAAATTTTAGAAATCTACATATCGAAATTGCGATTTTTCCAAATTCGAAAAACTTCAAAAACCAAAACTTTTCAAAAATCAACTTCTAAATCAGAGATACCACTCATCATCTTCTTCCCCACCAATGGCCACAACAGTAATTAAAAAAGAACAGTAACTTTTGAAAATGTGAATAAAAATCGGAAAAATGACCTTGTAAAAATTCGTTGGGCTACAGTAACCAGGTCTGCAGATGGTTAAAAAATAATACAATTTGGATTCTGTGAAAATCCCAAAAAATCGATGAGCTGTAAAACTTTGTTCATTTTCAATTGAAAGAGTTCAAGATATACTACAGTAATCCAGAGCAGTCCCAAAAATTAGGAATGAGCTATAGAACTAGAATTCCTTAACCTTAACAACAAAATAATATAAATATGAAATTCTAAAAATCCAGAATTTCAGACATCAAGAAAGGTTGAAATTTCGAATTTTGAGATATCGAAATCTAGGAATTTTAAAATCTAGGACCTATAGTATGCAGAAACTACAGTAATCTAAAGATAATTAAAAATTAGGAATGAGCAATAACTCCCAAAAATCCCCCAACCCTGTAAACAAGAATAAAAATTCATTGGTGTTGAAATTATTTTCTGATGACCAATATTTTTTTGGGGGTTAGTGACCTTGGTTGGTAAGTAAGTAAGTGTGAAGATGAAGACGAGACACTATTCTAGGAACCGGTCTCCTATTGGGGAGACACTGACTGATGGGTGTTAATTCTGACGACATTTTGATGAAGATTTAGAGGTTCTAATCGAGAAGATAAAGTGAAAGAGAGAGAGAGAGAGAGAGAGAGAGAGAGAAAGGGAGAGAGAGAGAGAAAAATGGTTTTGATTTGGTTTAGTGACGGTTTGGGCTTGATTTGATGCGATGGAGAGGTGATAATTTGAATTAGAAGAAGAAGAAAGGAGATAAGAAAGGTGAGAAAATTTAGTGGGATTTTTGTTTAGATTGGGGAAAAAATGAAGATAAGGGGAAAGGTCAAATTGGGGGACTTGGAAGGAAAAAAAGGATTTTGATTCAAAATTTGCGCTAAAACCTGCAATAGAAGGTCCCCCACACTGTCAAGATCGAGCTCATTTATCACGGTTGAATTTTTGAATATTCTGAATATTCTGAATTTTTGAATTTCTGAATTTCTGAATTTCTGAATTTCTGAATTTCTGAATTTCTGAATTTCTGAATTTCTGAATTTCTGAATTTCTGAATTTCTGAATTTCTGTATTTCTGAATTTCTGAATTTCTGAATTTCTGAATTTCTGAATTTCTGAATTTCTGAATTTCTGAATTTCTGAATTTCTGAATTTCTGAATTTCTGAATTTCTGTATTTCTGAATTTCTGAATTTCTGAATTTCTGAATTTCTGAATTTCTGAATTTCTGAATTTCTGAATTTTTGAATTTTTGAATTTCTGAATTTCTGAATTTCTGAATTTCTGAATTTCTGAATTTCTGAATTTCTGAATTTCTGAATTTCTGAATTTCTGAATTTCTGAATTTCTGAATTTCTGAATTTCTGAATTTCTGATTTTCCGAATTTCTGAATTTCTGTA